TTTCAAATAGACATGTGTAGTTCATAATATGAATATTACACTTACATGCCAGAACACTCTGATTTATGCAGTTTCTAGCTTTCTTCTTTTCCTCCACATCCCTCAAATTTCTTAAAAAATTTAATTTTTTGAGCCTAATCCACTGATCATGCCCACTCACTCAGTTAAAGGTCCTCATTAACCTTCTAAATCCTTGCAAGAAAATGTTTAAAACATATATCATTTTCTTATTGATAGAGTTCATTTATAGTACAAATCTAGATGCACCTTGTTATAATCACTATGTATAACTCATGTTATGAATTTTCTGTGTTCTGCTAAAAAATTAGCCAATGCAGAAAAGAGTTTCAGTATTAACATGCTTTTCTGTTTAAAAACATAGTTTTTAAAGTGCCAGGGGAAAGAACAGCACAGGATACATTTTAAGCAGAATTAAACAGTTTTAAAGGTCATGATGGAAAAGCACCTAGTGTTCCACTTAGTGATTTGTGCCATTAGTGGAGGTTAAGTTTTCGTGGTTCCAAGACCACCCTAGTGGCTCAGTATTAGTCACCAACTACCTGGAAGAAAGAGATAGTGTACACACACAGTGAAAGGTCAGAGCCAGATCAGCTAGTGATATAGCAGGGTCTGCAGTGGTAAGCAAGTAAATTACACCATAAATGGTAAAATGGTTGAGAGTTAATTTGAAAATAAATAGCAAGAGTAACATCAAATTAACTATTATAATTTAGAAAAGTCAGGTGCAAGGTATGGAACCTTCAGTTTTTGTTTTCTTCCATCTTTCAATAAAAAAAAAACTTTTCACACTAAAGACATTGACTTTCTCCTTATACATACAGTATATGTTTTCCATTCTATGAGGAGGGTCAGATATTTATATTTACAAATATATTACATATAAAGTAGATTTAAAAGCATGGGTATTTTCTGTTTTCTTTTCCCAGGGAGGAACTATTGAGAAGTAGGAAAAAATATAATTAGCATTTTTCTACTTCCCCAAATTATACCTATACTGTATATTAAACCTCCAGTATTGAATGGATGATAACATTCTACAGCCCATCATGGTAGTGAGTGTGTAGTGCCTCTAATTCATTTTATTTCTAAATCATTTTCTAAATAAGAACTATTAAACATACCAGAAGTTATACAAAATCACACAATACATAAACCAAATAAATCCTAGAATAAAACAAAATTTATACATTAAGGTATTTAAGAACAGTTTCTAATGGATTTGAATAGCCTGGATCAGTAGACCTTCGATTAAATGTAGGACTGTACTCATGCAATAAGTTCTTAAGGTAACCTGGTGCCTTATATGAATACAGGAGAACCTTAAAGGCCTTGCTTAATTTCACAGGAAGTCATTGCAATTTACAGAGAACAGAAGTTAAGTGGTGATTCAGTTAAGTGCAGTTATGCATATTTAGTACTAGATGTGCCTCTTTATTCGGATACAGTGAAGTGTATTAAATGCTGATCTTTTAAAATACCCCCAGGTATTTAGGGTGTTACAGTAGACCAATCTTGATTAAATTAAGGCTTACATTGACTTCTCAGCATAATATAGACAAAAAAAGACCTTACCCTGGCAATGGTACAGTATGCAGATGGAAAAGGTATTAGCACCATCAACAAAGACTCTGAAAATCTCAACTTTGTGGAGCTGTTGTTTGGACGTTGCATCTCGATCTTAATCAGACAAGCAGATCTAAAGCACAGAAACCTCAGCAGTATTATCCAAGTCACTTTGTAAGTAAATCATGTGGGTGAATATTTTAACCAACTGGCAACATACAGTATATATGGTAAATTATAAAGATCCCAGCAGAAAACCCTGTGGAACACCCTGAGTAAATGGCACTTTATCAGATTTAAAACAGCTAGGATTTACAAACTGGCTACAACAGGATGAATACGAGCCAAACCAATTAAGTACCATCCATCCATTTTCTAACTGCTTCATCCAGTTCTGGGTTGCAGGTCAGAGAAACGCCAATAATCCCTGAATAGTTTTCCATATGATTAAGAAAAATGCCATAATTCACAGTTTCAAAACTGCACCAAAGTCCAGATAGAGATAAATATTAAGTGACATAGCGTTGCATTAAATACTTTAACAAGGTGTGTTTTAATGTAATGCATGTCTAAACCCCAAGTGGAAAGATTAAAAAATCTCAGATCAAAATATTTGCTGGACAAATTGGACAACAATCTGGAATTAGACTCTTCATGATTGTCTGAAGCATTCTGCATGAACTCGCAAAAACACATAGCATTTAGCATTAAACATGTTTGTTTTTCAAACTGCCCCCTATTGAATTCCTACAGCATTTAATTAGCTGGTAAAGCAGGGGATTGCAACCATGAATAGAAGGTACAGTATTTTTTTCCTAAAGTCAATTTGTTTTTCCAGCATTGATCTCTTTATTGCAATGCATTAACAAGGTATTGCTGCATTCTAGCAGAATGTCTCATAGTCTCTACAGGCATTTCTAGTTCAGCCCCTATCCTTACATGCCCTAAGAAAAGAGGTTGAATTAAACCAACATTCTGCTTTATCCATTACAAACTTTTGGTTGCAAGGTGTTTTATATAAAAAATTATAGTCTCCTGTTCTTTCTAATAGCCTTGTGTTACTCAGCAAAGAAAATAAAATGTCCTTCTGAGACAAAGTAGAATACTCCACAAAAAGGGCACATCTGACATCTAATTTCTGTGATGTAAAATGCGATTCTGTATATCATAGTTAATGAATATCCTAAAATGAAACACCTGAGAGGAGAAAAAAGACTATATGTGAAAGATCTGGGCAATGTGCAACAGGAAAATGCTAAATAGATGTTATTTGATGTTAAGACTCAAAACACTTATTATTGTGGTTAAAACTTAAAAAAAAAACTACAACTTAAAAACTTGGCAAATGTCACCCTCTATACTGGTATTTTGAAAGGTTCCAGAAACCCAAAGTAGCTGCTATACTGAAGGTTTATAATGTGTTGCTGCATACTGTATTTCAAAAGGATTGTCCAGTCAGTGAAACATGTCCTGTTCAAACAAAAATTAATGAACATGTTTCTGTTTTTGAGAATTCTAGAAAGATTGATAACATTGGACTTATATTAACTTTTATATATACACACATATATATATATACTTGGTTTAAGTAGGAAATTAATATAGATTAATTACAACATCAGAAGAAACACAATGGCAAAATCTAGCCTATTCTAAGTGAAAGTAGATAATTAAGAATAACTTGAAAAGTTGGACCTAACCAATACATATTTATGTTACTTTTATCCTTGTTTCACACTGCAGTCTAGTGCCAGTCTGATGAATCTGGCCATGTGAAAATGCCTTCATATAATTCAAAAGATGATGGTCATGTTTGAGACAAGGTTATTAAATGTCTTCATCCACAAAGTGCTTTCTACCAGTAGTTGCTGCTCCTGAGTTATGGTCACGCAGTTGAGAGTACAGTACATCTGAAAAATGACCTGGGTCTGTCATTCCATAGGAATACAAGGACGCACAGAAACACAACTGGGAATGGTCATATATTGCTGGTGGATGGAATCCCTAAAAGCAAAAAAAGGAAAAAAGAATTTCAGATAACATCAGAATATTACATTTACTTTTGTACAATGTAAATTAAATGTACTGACAGTGAACATATTCTCGTGAAATTACAGAATTAAACAATGCAACTTATGTGCCCCTTCAGACGTCTCAGAACTTGGAAAATAGTTATATCGTAAGTCTTTCAGAAAGTTATAAAACAGAAGATCTTTGGGTTATTCAGTCTTTTTTAAATCCATTCACGGCCAACATGCTGCAGTGGTTTTATCTTTTGAGTGAAATTCAAGTTCTTGTCTAAATCTGTCCCAGGGTACCTTATTACTTTGTTCATGTCACCTCTGACAAACTGGGCTCAAAAATGGCCTACATGTCCTGTATGAAAACAAATATGGTAGATTGATGCACAATTCAGGAGATCAGCTACTTAAAAATGAAATAGTGTACTTCCCTAAAGGAGAGTTAGCCTGGACTGAGAAAAAATAGTGAACGAGCTAATAGATTTACTCCTTCTATGTTACAAAGAAAAAGACAAACCTCATAACGGAAGAGCCAATTTTACAGAGGGACCATTCAAAACACAGAATGAACCCAAGTGTTTAAAGGGACATGAGCTTCTTTGTTCGCTTACTCTCCTTTTTGCCTCGGGGGGTGAAGAATAGTGAAAATAATTAGGGTCTCCATTGTACAACTGTGCTTTATTTTTGATACAGCAATAGGAACTTTGATTTGCAGTCAAAGCTACTGGGTAAATATTTATTTTGGAATATTTCCATGACTTTCTGCAGCAGAGAATAGGACAAGAAATGCAAGTGGGCTACAGTGACTTCTAAGAACATAAAAGCCGCCAGCCAGACCAAGGTATGGGAAAAGGACAAATAAACAGGCAGCGCAGAAAGAAGCACATGCCATAGCAAGACAGGGCTGAATGGAGTATTGCTGTAGCTTTGAGTCCCACGTGGGTCCAGCGGGATACGTAGTAAGGGCAGACAGAGAACTGAAGGAAGCAAAGACAAACTGTACAAGCTCACAGAAGACACTCTGTTGTTAATACTGTAAATACAATGGAAGTTATGTCAGGGCACAGATGTGATGGAGCTCTGGAAGGAACTTCAGACAACCATTCCTGTGACCTACAGTACTGCAGTCCTTCAGGTAATTAAACCTGGAAACAGTGAACTTAGGCCAATGTAATGCATAATCAATTCAAGCTATTAAGGTAGAACAATGCAAGCAATCAATAGTTCATCTGGAACAGCATTATGACTTTTACTGCAATAAATGAAAACAAAAATTCTGACATAAATACTCACAGATATGTCTGAAGGCCTCTGTAATTTAAGTATTTCCTTCAGATCATACAGTACCTGAATTCCATTTATTGCTTTTTTTTATTTCTGATTTGATACTAAATACATTTACTTACTTGTCTGGATCCCACGTGAGCTAATATGATTGAATGGTTTTACAAATCATTCTAGGGGTCAAATTTAAATTACTTGCTCATAGACATCACTTTCCATCTTGAAATGACTGTCCATTCAGCAAATGAGAAAATATATTACAGCCAGCTATGTGCACAGTAAGTGGTCATCGGACATCACATTGTATGACACTGGTCCTTTTAGGAAAAACAAGTGAGTGTCACTTCTGAAATAACAGAGGCATGTTCTACATTTAAAACAAAATAAGTTGCCCTCCAGAAAGAACACTATTTTAATAATTATATATTAAATCATTTCAGGATCCTAACACGTAAACTCCGGTATATGAACAGATAAAAGCCCTGAAATTACTGTACATTATCTTTATAATAATATTGATACCTACTGTAGGAAGATTTAAATCAGTGACAAAACTGCATTGGCATTTTTCACAGTTCCATTGAAAAAGATTACCTTTCTTCATCAAGACACTTCAGATGTGAGTCTCTATGTCAGTGAACCCAGGCAGAAGCTCCCCATTGGCTGAGCTCCTGGGGGGCAACATTTTGCTCTTGCTGGGATCATCCCTTGGTTTGGGTCTCTGAAACTGCCCATGCACATATGGGACAAAGAAGAGCACCACGCCCCCAACCATCGGTGGGACACCCGCAAGGTAAAATGCCACGTGGTAGTTTCCAAACCAGTCATGGAGCAGCCCTGTGGAATTAAGTATTAAGAGAAGTAATCCATAAGTACATGCAGTACAATTAAGTTCAGTAAATACAACACTGAGACAGCGCAACTCCATCATCACACCTCATTCAGTCATGTACTCAATCTACTGAAAAATCAAAACCTTCCTTCTATAGTTGAGTCTCTTGTGCATTTGAAATCAATCCATTGTTAATCAAACAGATAATCCGGGAAATAAAATGTAAACCAAAATGTAGAAATGTAGACATGGAAAGAAAATGTAGCTTCTGTGACTTTTATTATTGACTTTAAAATGCTACACCCTGAAATTAAAACAGTAAGAAGACAGATCTTCATTTTTTGACATAGTTTGCAGTTTGGTATTAGTCTTCATAAAACACAGTACTCTGGGAAAATATGCATCTCTTCCAATGATATCTGGTTTAATTGAGTCACAGACTGCAAGAAAATATACAAAATTAAAATGAATTGATTAGAAAAGCAGTCAAGATCCTACTTAGTGGAAGCACCTTTGGCCGCAATTATAGCTGCAAGTGTTTTTAGATATAATCGGTGGTTTCAGCAAAAGTACTTATCGTATCACTGCTCTTCCATCTGAGAAAGAATCTGCTTGAGTTGATTTTTTTTTCCCCAGGAAGAACAGGATCCCAACCACCATAGAAATGTCCAGCTTTGGTTTAAATTTATGTTTTTCTGTATGTTCTGTTTGCAAAGATGACTACATTTCTGCAGAAAATTAAAATGTCTGCTGCACAGAACCTTCTAATAACTTACACACTGCTGTCTAACATTTTTAATTTTATTTTCCATTTAAACTTGTGTTTAAAAAATTTAATTATGACAAGGGCAAAGCTTTCTTAGCACATAATGAGAGGATAGGGATCATATCTATAAAAGAGTGCCAACATAGATTTGGTCAAATATAAAAGCTTTTGCAGCTGGCTCTTGGCAAACATTTTGCACCGTCACGCCTCAATCAAATATTGGATCTTTTTTTGCCTTTTCCTTTTTCCGGAAGAACATAGATCTGCTGCAAAACTTAACAGAGGTCCAACCATCATCTCTTTATCAGCATGACACTGTAACAGGGTAGCTGTCATTGTGATAGTAATTTGCATGTTAGTGGTGCCTATGGACCCACATAATGTATTAATTGGTTGAGAAGGTTATTATTATTAGAGATTGGAGCAAATGGGGGCACATGGGTTAAATGCTGTGTAGCTCGATGTAGTGATCCTCGTTACCAGTCTCTTTAAGAATGGTTGAGATTGAGAAAAGAGAGAGACATAGCAGGAACTGGAAAGATCAAAGAGATCACACAGAGAGAATGTCCACGAACAAACTCACTCATTCAGAGCCCAGTTTAACAGCAGTCTCCCTGAGATTCTCCTGATAGAAGGCTAAGAGGTGTCTCTTGTTTAAAGGTTAGTAGTAATTCATGGTTAGGTTAAGAACAAGGGAAAGAGACAGGGTGAGCTTTCTGGCTCCCAAGACACCAATATCATGCAAACTACCTTAACTTTGACATCTGCCCTGTTACAGATACCCAGATCCATCACACAAACAGTGCTCTCACAAAGATGATAACCTTTGCAACTGCAGTATGATTTCAGTGTTGTGATACCAATGGGAAGGAAACAATGAGAGAAATTATTGAGTTATGGGAAATTGATGGATGGATTTCGCAAACAATAGGACTACAATGAAATATTTCAATCAGAGGCTAAGACATCAACTTCCTTTAGTAGTTACTTGCTTTTAATAATTGACAGGAAACATCAATATATTACTCCTGCTGGTATGATTTGTACATCATTTGTAACCCTAGGTCCAACCTGAGATGTTCTTGGTGTTTTAGGATCCAACTAAATCATTAGTAAATGTCAGTCATACTAAGGAAAGGTGATGACTCTGCTGAGAGAGCAAGCAGCTGGTTGTGGGTATAGGTGAGTTTAGAAAGAACAGAGAGTTATATATATATATCATCATGTGGCTCAAGTCCTCCTCTAGTGCAACAGGGATCATTTGGTTCATAAGATGACATGATCCCTTAGAAACTTCTAAAAAGCCTTGAGTTTGCCCACAGTAAATCCTGGCCTTTTAGTACTAAACATTGAATGTGAGGTGCTGAGTGCCTCAGGACAGGGAGGCACAATGACATAGCTCTAGTTCTACCCTATAAAATCAGAATCTCTTAAAGGAAAAAAAGTCACATATAGTAATAGAGCAGAAAGATCTGCTTTAACTGAGTGGAGGATCTGCTACAATATCCATCCATCCATTTTCTAACCCCTTTGTCCAACTTAGGGTCACAGGGGAGCAGGAGCCTATCTCAGCAAGCAACGGACGCAAAGAAGGACACACCCTGGAGGGGACACCAGTCTGCCGCTAGGCACACGCAGACACAGACACAAACAGACATTCACATCATGGTCCATTTTCCCAGAAGCCAATTATCCTACCAGTATGTTTTTGGACTTTGGGAGACAACTGGAGCACCCAGAGGAAACCCATGTGAACACAGAGAGAACAAACTCCAAGCAGATGGTACCACAGCTCCATCCAGCTCCAGAATTGAACCCAGGGCCTCAGTACCATGAGGCAGCAATGCCAACCACCGCTTCAATATGTTCTTATATATTACCTAGCATAAGGGTTTCTGTTAAGCAAATACACAAATAAATGTGTTTTGACCACGTGCAATGATTTAATTTTTGGTATAATTAAGGTGCGGTTCTCAAAGCCATCCAAGAACCAACAGGAGGAATTCAGTTCCTATGGATACCTATGCAAATTCACAGACCACCTGAAAATCTCAGTGGTTGCCGTGCTGAGGAAAGCTGAGGACATCCTGGCTGACTGAAGTCTGCCTAACCCTTGAAGTACTTGGCCATGAACACACTGGTACTTTGTTAACTCTGGTCATAGTCAGCGAATATGAATTCTTTCAGCAGGTCCTTGCTAATTCTGCATCCTCCACAAATATATGTGCTGAGAAATGACATATATTAACCAGAAAACAGGTATTTAACATAGTGGTGTTGACATCATTTCTCTCATTGTATTAATTATTTTCACCTATAAAGAACACTCCCTAAAGATTATCAAAAAAAATAGTTATGTTGCACTATGACAATTAAGCAGTGATAACTGTGTATCATTTCATGGTATTTTGGTTGTAAATTTTAAAAATGAGCTCTATCCTAGATCAGGTGCATCACTGGAAACTGCAAATTTTGTATCAGGAGTAAAATGTTAAAAAATGCTGAGGTCATTTTTTAGACGTAAGACTTTAGGAAAACAATGAAATTCTCCTTGAGTCTGTCTGGAGCATTCCACGTCCGCCTTTAGAAACAGAAATTGAATGACTAATTCCTTATAGGCTACTGACCTCATCTACAGCTGTGAGAGGGTGATATTTCAATATTAATGCTGGTATATGATGTAACCAGACATTGCATCTAAGGCCTTTTTTAAACACTGCATTATAATATTTATAATAACTGCTCTATTCTGTAAAAGCATACTTTATAATAGTTTTATAATTTTGTTTTGAGGTTCTAAGAGGAAAAACTGCGTAGCAAAATATGATATACACCAAGGTAAGGCCAGTAATGTATTAATCGCTCTTTAGCTGTTTAAGTTTAAAATTGCTTTTACTTAAAATTGCATAATATTTGAATGGATCCAAGTATTTTAATTACTAACAGCAGTAGTCCACTTTGGTTAACCAACATATTGTAATCAAAGAAACCCAGATCACTTGCTTCTATCCAAATGATAAGCCTATGCACTATGTAGTGAAGGAAATGTGGGGCACAAAAATGGGTTGATGAGCATTGCATCCAGCAGATGTTTGCAAATTGAATCAAAATAAAGGAAATTATTTCGAAAACTTGAATTATCCAACACCTTGCCTTTTGCATATAAATTCTGAAATTTCTGTCTGTTAATCGTTGGGATTAATTTTCACTGACCTGCAATGGGAGGGCCTGCAGTCATTGGCACAGCCATGAGACCCAAGAGGTAGCCAATGGCCTGGGAAGCCTGCATTGGTCCCACGAGCTCGAAGGCAATAGGGGCCATGATGGTGATGAAGCAGCCATCGCACAACCCCAGAAAGAGGCAAACAGCGATAACCCCCTCAAACACACGGCACTGAGGTATCATCATGGACATCAGACCAAGTACCAAAAAGGAGGCCACCTGCCAAAAGAGAACATTAACATTTTCACCATGCAATAAATTCCTGTTAGAATTCTGCAGCCTCGCTCCACAATAGATTAAAACTTTAACTTTCTGCTGAAACAGGAACAAAACGCTCGCAATAATAATTGGGCATGATTAGTAAAGCGGAGTTATAGCAGTATGAAATGACAAGAAAAGAAAAAAAAACACTCACTGTATATCTATGAATGGTGAAATTACACAATGTCTGTAAAAATGACACCATCCTTTTGGATTTTCAGTTACCCGTATGATTAAGTTCTCAGTAAACACACACACAAGATTAGCAAATATGCATCAGAAAATCAAGTACAAATCTGCATTACGAGGTTTCTCTTCAATTCACATGGAAAGAAAAGACACAGAGGACCATAGAAAAAAAGAACTAGACACACTTCATGTCAACACTTTTGTTGTGGTAGTAGACATGAAATTAACCTTACATATACTGTACATTTTATTTCTAGGTTTATTCCTGACTTATGTAGAGTTCAGTCAGGTATTATTACTTTATGTTAACAAAGCAGGAATCTGTGAAAGAATCCTTGACATTCTCAGACAGTTGGACTTTAGAATATACAGGACATTCTGTGTTGGTGTTGAAAATATTCCTACACTTTTCCTAGTAGTTAAACTGGGTAGACCCTATCTATACCCCATAAGATTTTAACCATAACATACTCAAGTTAAATGTCACACTTTTTTCATAACCAGTTTTTTAAATTTCTTCCAGATTTTGTTTTGATGAGGGCATAAAGGAATCTACTTAAAGACCCATAACCTTTATCAGTGTAGCTTTCTGCAGCAACAAATCATCATCGGAGCAGTGGCTCTGTGGCTAAGGATCTGTGCCTGTGGCTGGAAGGTTGCTGGTTCAAATCCTGCAGCTGGCAGAGGAATCCTACTCTGTTAGGCCCCTGAGCAAGGCCCTTAACCCCAACTGCTCCAGGGGTGCTGTTCAATGGCAAACCCTGTGCTCTGACCCCTGGCTCTCTCCCTGTCTGTATCTCATGGAGAGCAAGCTGGGGTATGTGAAAAGATAAATCCTGATGCAAGAAATTGTAAAGGGTTAATAAAGTGATGTTGTTATTATTATTATTATTATTATTATTATTAAATCATCTACGTGATACACACAGGGCATGTTTCAACTGAGTGCCTGGATCATTTTACACTTGTCAATGTGAAATTTCATTTTCAAGTGTTTTGGTTATGCCAGTTTGACAGTTCGATCTCACTGCTTCAGTGTTTGCAACTCCTGTGATTGCATCATGAGCAAGCTGAACTTGCTTCATGGCTGCACAAGCATCTAAATTTGTAATCGTTAATCATTAAGGCAAAGACTCATGATCCCAAAAAATTGTGAAATTGTGAAACGGATAAACGTTATACAAGGGTATTGGGAACCTTTGGTATAGTCAGAAGGGTAGCAAGACCAACAGGGAAAGTTACAAAAGCAGAAGGACAACTTGTACAAATTATAGGCTGAAGTTCAAGGAACATAATTTGGCAGATCAGGTAACAGGTGATCAACACAATGATACCAAAGATCATAAGATCAAACGGGCTGAGCGGTGGCACAGTGGCTAAGGATCTGCAGCTGTGGCTGGAAGGTTACCTGTTCAAATCCCACAGCTGGCAGAGGAATATTACTCTGTTGGACCCCTGAGCAAGGCCCTTAACCCCAACACAGCCACCACTGAAATGGCATATAGTGGTTCCCTACTTATCATACAGAGCTGAAGATGTGAGAATGACAAAGTCAAATACACACTGCCAAGTCAACAACAACATTTCTGAAGAGATAAAGGTCTAATTACTGTAATAAAAACTAAAGGGGACAAAGGAACTGAGAGTGTGAGTATACTTTTTTTCCCATAAAAAGACATTTTGTAATATATGTAAAATTCTGCACAATTTAATGTGATACTACACAATGTAATGCAGTAAAAACATATCAATCACGGTAGCTGTCAAAAAGCCCACATTTGTTGTACATTTTTGCAATGTTTTGTTTTAATTATTGTATTCTTGAATGTGTTCATTAATTTCGAGCTGAAAGTTACAAATAAAAGCAGGGCATTCAGTACATCAAGATTGTTTGGTTGGTAGTAGTGGTTGCCAGGTTTTTTTAAGCGCCTGTTGAGTCAAGAAAATGCAAAACAACATCTGAACTGGAGTAGCAGTGTGTAAAGGATTTGGTTTTGGATTACAGTACTGAAAATATATCTGGTAAAAACAATGTTTTTAAACCATAAATTTAAGTGAATTATGTATTTTGAAAGGGACCTTGGAAGGGATTAGCAGTCACCTTGCCTTGAAAAAGAGTGGACCTGCACTATACCATGCCAGGGAAATGTACCCCGCAACATTCCATAACCACCAAAACTCACCACTGTTAAAAACAAGTACTCAGGGCTATAGAGTTCATTAGGTTGGCCGCACATGTACACTCTTCCTTTTGTTGAGAACATGGTAAAGCATGAACTATCACATTTCTCAAATGCTTGGTAGTTCATTAGTTGTACTCTTGGTGAACACTGGAATCACCAATGTGCTTTGCTGGTATGATGAGCAATTTCTGCACTGCAACCCAAATATGGTACCGTGCTCTATAGAGTTTCCAGTGGACTTTTTTAATGAAAATGGCTGCAGGTTGATCTGCTGTGGCTTGCCTGTTTTGCCTCCCACTTCAAATTCCAGATTGGCACGTGCTCCTGCCTACTGTTGTACTTTGTGGAGGATCTTTCCGTTTCCATTTTTCCCTCAGATTTCCTTGCCGACAATAACTTAGACACCATTACTTGTGAAAAATGAGCAAGTTAAGGCGTCTTGGTCGCTGAAGCTTCTGTCAAATGCACCACAACAACCACTCCTCTTTCAAAGTTACTGAGGCCATGCTAAGAATAATTAGAGACAACAAGCCCTTCTAGTATTTTTATACAAGACCCTAAGCATGCTGGAATGTTATTTTCTTAATTAACAAATGAGCCACTCCTGTGCAGCAGCCCTTGCTTTCAATATACTTGATCCCCCTTATTTAACCAGGTAAATTCCGCTTTTTTGTCCATTACCTGTGTATATGCACACAATATATAAATTAGTCAATGTACCATATCATTTGTACACTAATATTCCAAAAAAAGTCCACAGGTTTGTGATTAGAGGAGAGCTAATTAATATTACAAATAATAAAAGTACAAATAATTTCTTATTATCAGTATGTGAGTCTGCTCTATTTTAAATTAACATGGTTGCAGTTTATGTAATTTTTAAAATATATTAACATAATATCAAAATTGATGGACACATCATATAAATGATATAATGAGTATATCCAGCATTTACATATTATATATGAATATAGGTTAAAAATAGTATTTACATAGGTGAATATTGCCATCTCGGACCTGGACTCCCTCCAACATGGGTATCAGGTATCTACTCATAAAGGTTATTGTACCAGCAACTGGTGGAAGATACAGATGCTGCCACAATCTTGGTTTTCTAAGGATGCACAAAAGCCATCACATAGTTGGATCACATAGCTGGACAGTATGTCTGGTGGATAGCATAAGTTTTGGGTCTGAAGTGCGTCTGATGTAGATGACATAGGACTTGCACTGGAAGAACTAAACACATGATCTGGTACAGCTGAATTTTTAGTTATTTCCTCAATGAAAATATCAAGACTGGTAAAATGACTTCTAAAGGACTTTTAGGTTTCAAAGAACTGTTACATTTCTCCAGTTCAGACCAATTTCCTAAAATATGGATATGCAGAAGCAAAAGTTAGATTAAATTACCCAGGCACAAATTTTAACAGCCCTGTTTCAAACCTAATTTAAATTAAGACCTTCAAAAGAGTGTATGAAATAGCAAAGGTGACTTATCAAAGGAAAAGCAGAATGATGATATTTTTACCTGCATGTAGATTTTCTTCACTCCTGGAATGAGATCTCCTATTTTACCAAACACTAATCGGCCCACTCCTGATGATGCTCCAATGCACACCAATAGAATCCATTCTTTCTGAGTTTCTTTAAATTGTTCTTTCACATAACTTATCTGAAAGATGAGAGAATGCATTTTATTATTGCATAGAAGAGTTCTTCATTTCTCCTTCTAGAAAGCAAATGTCTTGTAGGTCTTAGGGAGCTCTTTAAATCATCATTATCTTAAGACCCGAGGCAAGAGATTTACTGGCCAATGTATGTCAATATTTATTTGGAATGGAATCCAGCAGACCATTCTTAGTCTTGGATGTTTCATAGAATTGTATTAACAGGTGCAGAGCTCCAGTCCTCAAGGGTACTAATTCAGCAGATTTAACCTGTCTATTTATATCATCAGCATCTGAAGACCTCAGTTAAATTGGTCCATTTAAGTCCATAATGAGTTCAATTAGATAGTAAAGAGCTTAGATGTAACACAAAAACCTGAAAAACCTGTCACACTACCAGGCTGAAGCTGTGCAATGCTTCTTTGCATTCTTTCGTGATCTGTGAACTGTATAATTATACAAAGACTGAGAGATTTATTGTACATTGTCTGAAGGAAACAGCATTCTATTTCTACTTGTCTTGGGAGTAAGGTGTGAATCGATAAATGGTTTCTAGATAATTACTGGAAAATGAGTTAAGTGATGGAGTATTTAAATTTCACTTCCATTTGATACGCCTTTAGATCTCACTGCCTGGTCTTCTATCTGATGTGAGCCTGGTACACACCTGCTGTTAAATTAAGGTACAAATAGACTTTAATACACTAAGAAGACTTCTCAATGGTAAATAAAATAAATAACAAAATAAAACAATCCTTAGAAAATATGGGGATTTCTACAGCGGCTGAACTCAAGCACAGGTCAAGTTTCAAATGTGACCTGAGACTCCAGGACAGACATGTTACCCATGACATTTTAAAAATTAGTTTTTTTTTTAAAAAATTAAAAAGCAGAGGAGTCAGCCTTCATTTCCTCATTCTCCGTTTTGTAAAGTTATGGGGTTGGTAAATGAGAGCCAAGGCAAGAAAAACACACAATTGTTTGTTGTAAATTGTGTGGATATAACAAAATAATTGGCAATTCTACATTAAAAAAATAAATCAGATTTTTTGAGAAAGTGACTAACAATCACTTGTAAATCCCTGGGTCTTCAAGCAACAGCATTAAAGCAAAATACCTGACTAAATTCCTTTCTTCACCACTGAATTAAGAGTCAATTTCCAAGAGTATTTACAATTCAGATTTTGCCTTTTCAAACTTTTGGAGATCATTTTGAAATGACAAATGTAAATACATTGACATACGACATATACATTCTGCCAACAACTGTAGCTCTCTGGACAGATGCATTTGGATTTTAAAATCACAGGTAGCACAAAAATAACAGAATCAATCAGGAAAAGCCTTCTAACTTGACCTCTATGGCATTGCTCCAAAATGATCCAAATATACCATGGGTATAGAAAATTTGAACTTTAAACAGGGAACAGTTTCTTATCTAAGGTTAGAACTCAGTTAAATATTTTTCTTCTTTGTAAGATACCAGAGAATGGATAGGATCTATGGCTTTGAAGCTAAATGTTTAAAGAATATGCTGTACTTAGAGTTTCCTGAGTCTATTTCTTTAATATCAACAGTCTTTCCGACACCTTGGCTTATGTTTGATAACTCTGAAGCATGAGTTCAACAAAAGCCGGGATACAGTTTATTTATGGATTGGAACAGCTGAAATAACACTGAGAGGTCTCGTTACATTTTGATAAATTAATCCTTCTTTTAATAGCCTAAAAGATATTTTACATAATACCACTGAACATTCACAACAGAAGCATGCAGCTAGCTGTTGACTTTTTCCAGATTGGAGCTTTTCTATAGAAAATAGCTATAGAATATGGAAGAAATGGAACAAGGGGAAAGTATATCTTTGAGTTTATTTTCAGCATAGCAAAACAAACCATCATTAACCAAAGGGCTAAAGTGGTTAATGCTTATTACTTGTTACTTTAACAAGTAATAAGCAGTACATAGTATGTAGCAGTATGTATTACTATACTTTCCAACTGTTTCTACAGTTCTTTAAATAATATGCACAGAAAATCTCTTTCTAAAGGTACATTTGTTTATTTTGTTTTTAATAGTAAAAGGTTGAAGGGATATTATAATTTACTTACTTAGCTGATGCTTTTATCCAAAGGACAATTCTAATCATTTATACAGTTGCTTATTTTGCTACTGGAATAATATGAGTGAAGTACCTTGCCAAGGGTACAGCACCTGTGGTTTGTGAACCCAGAGTCTTCCAGTTAAAAGTCCAGAAAGAAACATGAACCGTAGAGCTATCCTAAGATCCACAATTCTTCCTTGCTTTTGTTTAGTCCAAGTATCAGTTACTTATTTGGATAATTTTCTAATTAATTAGATAACTCTAATACTTCTTTCCCAGCCCACAACTGTTTAAAGATACTGTACAGGAAATGGACTGCAGGATTTAATCCAACAACCATAAGACAAAACACAAGGCACACTGAAACCCACCAGGAATTTAGTCTAACTTGGTGTGAGATATCTTAACCCTGTGAAATATGTTTTTTTCTATGTATCACAAATACCCTGTAAAGTAATGTTTAACCTATAAGAACACCTTTCTGCAGAGTTTTAATATATCCACACTTAGGCCAATCTATAAAGCTCCATAAGTATTGTTCTTTGACCCAAGTCGACCTCTCATAGTACCAATCATTAAAGTCTTGTACAAAAAACATTATATACATTCAAACGATAAGACAATAATAATGAAACTCAATCAACAGAGGTCTTAGGATGGGATAAAAATCAGAAAACCCTTTAGCCTTCACAGAGATGAGTTTAATTCCTCAAGGAGCAGTATTAACTAAATGAGCGTGGTGGAATTTACAGCCTAAAGAAAAAGGCAAGACTTTAAAACTGACATCCTTTTAGCGTTGACCTCAGTAAATAAAGATACTCTGACAGTTTAATGGGTAGACCACAGTGGCAAATATGGACTACTGTCCTGAAAAAACCTGCTACAAGAATTTAGGTGTAATGATTTCACTCACCAAGTGAACGTATGGCACAAAATAACCCAGAACAGCAGTGGCCACTCCAAATGCCCACACTCTGTAGGTGGTTATGCGGAACACCCGTAGGTTGAAGTACTTCCTGATCTGGGCCAGGCTTCTGTGCCAGCAGCTCGCAGTGTCAGCCAGCGGGGACCTGGTGGTGTCAGGGACTATGGGCAGCAAGGGGCGGAAGGTGAGAGCCAACAAGGCCTGGACCAGCATGAAGGTGCTGAGAATCTGGAACGTGGCCCTCAAGCCCAGAGGCTCCACCACCTCCTTCAACAGGACAGGCAGGCCCATGGAGAAAACACTACTGCCTGCTGTCACCACTCCATTGACCAGTCCTAGTCGTCTGCGGAAGTAATGCCCAAGGATAACCAGGGAAGGCTGGAAGGCAAAAGAGGCACCGCAGCCAAAGAGTATCCCATAAGTGAAGTAACGCAATCCCAGAGACCTGTGAGGAAAAGCAAAAGTTCAGTGTTTTTTTCTCATTCTGCTAACAATAACAAACTGTCTGCAAAGAGAATCACGTAAAGCATGGTGAGATACTTAAAAGTAAAACTCCTGCTCTCTCCATACATTATGCTAAGGGCTACTTATTTTTTACTTTAAACAACAAACAAAAATAAAAACCTCTTAAATGCAAAATGAATCAAATCCAAAAAAACAGGAGAAACACCACACTCTGGGTTCCATTATCATCACCCCTTTTCAGTGTATTTCTTGTAAATCTGTTTTTGTCAGATATATCCAAAAACATCAGAAAACAATACAACATTACCCCCACCCACCCACCACCACTCCTGCGATTTGTGGTACACCCTCAGTTTCTACCACAGGATTCCTAAAGTTAAAGCAATTAAGATAAAAGTTGAAGATTTCACTCCATCAGCCACAAAACCTCAAGTCTCTACTGTACAACCCCATCTCACACCCAGCGCACAGGCACCAAGGATATGAGAAGTGAGCAGTAGATGGAGAGAGCTCCATATACAGTAAATAACAAAGTCAAGCCAGGATTTGACCTAATAGGGCTTAATTATGCCAAGATAGGGAATCCTTCATCTAACTTGTTTATATGCATTATAAGGATATTATACCTGCCTCCAAGCATGTTCTACTAGATGTGCTAAACACCTGTAGCCTAAAGCACACAAATGTGAGAAGAACAAGTACAGAGGCAGTGTGAAGGAATAGAAAACTGTTCAATAATTTATTTTATTTATTAGAATATATATAATATTTAATACATGCTTTTTACAAGTGAAGAAATAAAAGGTTGTTCTTTTGTTTAAACTAACATATTTGCTCTAGCTTAGTACCACTGCACCTAACTTTTACACAGTTGGCTTTGCACCCAGAACATAAAAGAGGAACCTGTCTTTGTCATTAAGCTGAGAGACATGACATAAGCAGGGAAATCCAAAAGGCAGGAGCAAAGATTTGGTACGAGGAGATCAATCCGCACGCACGCACGCACGCACGCACGCACGCACGCACGCACGCACGCACGCACGCACGCACGCACGCACGCACGCACGCACGCACAAGAATTCTACAGTAGGCTTCTCAATAGTGAGCATGGGTTGGTGTGTAAGGGGACTTTAAATACTGAAGGAAAAGGGATGTGGTTGGATAATTGGTCTTGGGGTGAGAATTTGAGGAATCTGGTGCATGTGGGAATGTAATGGGTTCAATTAGGAATGAGATTGTGAAACAGTGGGAATGCAAGGGCATTTGCAAGGGAGAGTGTGGGGCATGAAAAACAGCTTGCTTCACTAAACCTTGCATAAACCTTATGTAATATATATCCATATATAGACATATTTCTGTATTACTATTAGGGGGAGTGTCACTATAGCTTGTTTGTTTCACTGTATAAAAGACCGTCTTTTGTTACTTTTCATTGAGTTTGGCTTGCAAGAGCTAGGCTTCCATATGCCTATGTAATAAAGAAGGCTTCTGCTACACAGACACCCGAATTGCTTTAATTTTGTTTGGCACAACACAAGAAACAGATTTAGAAATCTAGAGGACCAGTACTGGGAAGAGATGCAACTTTAAACTAGAAAACAAAGCTTTAACACAATTGAAAATACATGTTTTTGAACGCATTATCAATCATAAGACAAAAGCAAGAGACCCTCACCAATATATTCAAAGCAAAATTAGCTAAAAACGCTGATTCATCTATTCACACCATCTTTCATCATTTACACAAATTTAAACCCCAAAGGCCTTGATATGCAAACTGCAAAACCATAACCTCTAATTACGCTGAGCTGAATCTTCCCCTATCACTCAAACATAGTGTCACCATAAATTTAACACATAGTAGCCAACTATTGTGATGCAGTCTTTTTTTAAATTAAGGTCAATTAATTTCCTTAACTGAATAGATACAGATCCTTGATTAATATTTCTGATACTATTAATATCCATGCATAAAGAGGACTCATTCTCTTACTTAAAAATGAACCATAATACAGAATTGCCAATATCATTATCATTGATATTGGAAACTAGGTTATCTAAAGAGTGTAGTAGCTCAGCATCTGAAAAGAGTATTTCATATATTAGAGATTTTAAAGACATGCATTAAACAAATATGGTGGCAGAGTAGCATAGTGACTAGCACTCACAGTTCCAGGGTTTCAGGTTTAATTCCAGACTGGGGTAATTTCTTTGTTGAGTTTGCATGGTATCCTTGTGCTTGAGGAGGTTATCTCTAGGCCATCTAGTTTACTAATTTAATTGGCGTCTCTATGTTGTGCCTGTTTGATTGTGTCCCTTTGGCCAGTGATAGATAGATGTTAAGTGTAGTTCCTGCTCATTCTTTATGTTTCTGAGATACAGTAGGTCTAGGTTGCTGGGACACTTAATGGACCTTAAGACTCACCCAGAATCAAGTAGATTTCTGATGAAGGATGGATGGATATTAAGGATTCTGATTTCTAAACACATCATTAAACTTTCATAAAACAATATTTTTCAACACTTCTCAGTTTTCCCTTTAAAATGTCTCTTAAAATGATAAGAGTTTAGTAAGGTTTATATTCATCACTCATTCCTTTGTTCAAAGAAACATACTGTAAATATAATTTGATTTGGTACTTTTTAACATTTTACTGCGCACAAACACTTTAACAAAACATTTAATTGTATTGTTTTGTTTAAGCCAACTATGACACCTCCTAGTATTTAAAAAATTGCTGGGGGAAGTTATTGACTATTTGTATGTTATGAAAATTTTAATTTGTAACTCCGAATGTATCAAAGCTGTGGTATTCATTTTAAAATATGAAGACCAATTACTGTGTAATTTATGTAATTAATCTGTTCCACGGCTAATGACATTAAAATTAAAATACAATTCACATAACCCCTTCAGGTTCAGGTTGGCATATTATAATGACATTTTTGTGGAAGCAAAAACAGAAATGTTAGAAAAAGAAACAAGCTGAATTATAATCCATAATAACAGTCACCAGAAAAACCAAAGACACTTCAGCCTGAACTCAAGATCTGAATTAGGAAAAAGACATACTTCGCTACCCTATTGTCCAAAGCTTCCTATTTCTGTGAATCCACAGTCATTTAAATCAAACCACTTTCTCAAAAAAATGACTTTTTTTTGCTTCTCAGTCTATCATCTGCCTTCTGTCAGCCTTCTACAGTACTGTATATCTTTCTCTTCTTTTTGGAATTGTGCACAGTCTGTTAATTATTTATTGTTGTTGTAGCTGACATCCTGTAACAAGTTTGGCTCAGCCTAAAATTAATTACCTTTGATAAGGCCTATATAAATCTAGCGGATTTGCAAATGTTACATAACCAAACTTCAGACAAACAGCACTAACACAAAAGGAAACTCAAGAATATCCTAGTAGGAAGCTCCCACAGAAACCTTTGGAAAGGGTTGAAAAACTCTTTTAAAGGCATATAACTGCACATTTTTAATTCAAATCCAAGGCACAGTTCACATCTTATCATTTTAAAGGAGTGCCTTGGAAATGGAGTTATCGAATGAGGAGACCCATTAACCCTTATGAATGTTATTTATTCTTGAGCACCTTAATATAATCTACTGGAGCCAGTAAATGAGTGATAATGTATTACTTAACATATATTATATTATTAAGCTCTGAAATTATAAGTTATTTAGGTTCCTTATAAAGGAGATACCATGTAGGATGATGAAAGTTCAGGTCATTTAAGATATGAGTCATGAGATCAAAGTTAAGTGTACATAAAAAAAGACGAAGTATCCATCTTGCAACAAAGATCTAAATTTAATAATGTCAATAAGTAAAACATGAAAATACTGTAGTATGTAAAACATCCTTTTCTCACACCATCTCACAAACTAATTTTATGACTTTCCTGCACACAGAATGTATAGCTAACATTTTTTTAGATTTTATCAGTAAACTGGGTGGATTTTAATCACACATTCTAGATTGTCTAAATATTAAATTGAAAAGAATTGCCACTTCTTGTGTATCAACTCATGGACCAAAATATACCAGCAGAATAAACCTTGCTCGTGGAGTAATGGCACTGAACAGAATTGCATGGAAAACAAAAGTTCTCAGGAAATTATACAGTAATAAGCATAACTGTTGTAGCTATGCAGGAAATGTTTTGTTTTTCTTGATCCAGAATAATAGACTGCAGTATCTTAAAGTTATTCATAATATTCAAATTTCAAAGCTTAATCTGTCCTTTTTTCTATATTGGACATTTAAAACTTCTATAACTTTTTTAGAGACAGGTTAAAAATTACATAATTATAAGACATTAAGACCTGTTTCACTGAGGATTTCCAGTGGAGTTGCCTTAAAACGGTTTATTATTTATTTTACCTAGGTTAATTTATAAGGATAGGAGGTATCTAGTGCTGTTCATATGTGTCCTGAGAGGGCAAAGTTACAGGGGGGCGCCATCGCACCATATCTTTTAGCGTCTGCTGTGGATGGCTGTTTAGCAGTCTTATTGCATAGGGGAAGAAGCTTTTCCAAAACCTGCTGGTCTTGGTCTGTATACTTCGGTATTGTTTTCCAGATGGTAGTAGAGAGAGCAAGTTGTGGTTAGGGTGACTGGGGTCCCTAAGGAAAGACCAGGCCTTCTTGAGGCATCTAACAGAGTAGATATCCTTGATGTTTGGTAGCACATAGCCGGTAGTGTTTTGAGCCAGTTTCACCAGCCTCTGGAGTACCTTGCGCTCTCGAGTAGAGCAGTTACTATACCATGCAGTGATGCAGCCGGTTAGGATGCTTTCAGTGGTGCACCTGTTAAAGTTGAAAAGGATGTGTGACGGCATGCCGAACTTCTTGAATCTGCGGAGAAAGAACAGGCACTGCTTTGCTGTCTTGGCTACAAGATTGGTGTGGTGGGTCAAGGTTAGGTCGTCTGTGATGTTGACACCTAGGAATTTTAAACTGTTGTCTTTCTGCACTGCAGACCCGCTAATGTGAATGGGTGCGCGGTCTGTTCCTCGATGCTTCCTGTAGTCCACAATCAACTCCTTAGTTTTACTGGTGTTCAGAGAAAGATTGTTGTCCTGTAATCTGTGATGCTCTGGATTTGATGGCTTTTCTGAGATCGGATCTGGATTTTCTGTACTTGTCCTTGTCCCTTGTCTCCAGAGTTGAAGGCGGATGTTCTAGCTCTGAGTTTAGCGCGTACTTTGCCATTTACTAACGGTTTTTGATTTGGGTATGTGCGAACAGTAATCCTGGGGACAACATCTTCTATGCATTTGTTGATGTAGCCAGTAGCATAGTCCGTGTATAGGTTAATGTTGTTCCTGTCAGGTTTGCATAAAATCCACCAGTCAGTGGTGGCAAAGCAGTGATTTAGAATATAGTCCAATTCCTCCGACCTGCGCCGAATGGTCCTTGTCACAGGCTTCTCCTGCTTGAGTTTCTGCCTATAGGCAGGGAGCAGCAGGATGGAGGTGTGATCGGATTTGCCGCAAGGAGGTCAAGGAAGGGCTATATATCCATCCCGGAGAGAAGTGTAAACATTGTCCAACGTGTTTGTTCCACGCAATGGGCAATTTGTATGCTGATGCAGGTTTGGCATGATTTTCTTCAGTTTGGTGCCATTGAAGTCCCCCACTGTGATGAATGTGCCCTCGGGGTGTAAGTTCTCATGTCTGCTTAGGTGTTCGTGTAGTTCATCCAGTGCTTTTGTGGTGTTCGCTTGCAGTGGAACTCCCTCAGTAGATAGAATGAGCGACATTTAATTGTGAGATGTTCAAGATGTGGGGTTCATGATGATGAAATAGTCTCCACGTCTGTGCATCAGGAGTTATTAACCATGAAACATACCTCTCCGCCCTTGATCTTCCCCGAGTCTGTTGTCCTGTCCTGAAGGTGCATGGAAAAACCTCCCGGTAGAATAGCGGTGTCCGGAGCGGATGGGTCGAGCCAGGTTTCAGTATGTCCCGTAGGAAAACAAGGCTTGCCCTCAGTGCGTCCAGCTTGTTGTGAAGTGATTGAACCTTAGAGAGGAGTATGCTCGGAAGCGGAGAGCGATTCCAGCGTGGTCTCAGTTTAACCAAGACACCTGCCTGCTTACCTCTCTTCCTTTGCCAATGCTTGCTTTCGGGAACAGGTACAATTGGAACTCTGTACTCCAGGTTATCCATCATCGTATTCGGTGCAGACCTTTTTGGGATAGTCGATCTTGTGTCCATTAGTGTTTGTCGGTCATAGCTGATCATCAAGCAAGTATTATGTACAGTTAACAGTATAAAAGACATCATAAAGTAGAGTACAAGACAAAAACAGACGGAAGCTTTTAGGACAGCAGCCATCCTTGTCAGCACCATGTTACAGTGGAATACATTTACTTTACATGTTCATGGAGAAATTAAAATAGTGAGTTAAAAAGAGTGAGCTTGTATCCTTTCATTGTGGTCAGAATACTATTCTGGAAAATAATGACTTTAATGCACATTCTCTTGCAGAATTCTGCTAGTGAAAAGGCTGCTGTTAGGTGAAAGGACTGCTCTTCAGTTTGATTTTGATTTTAAAGGCACAGACAAACAAAACCAGAATCACTTAAATTTCAATTAAAAAGCTGAAACTGTGGTGACTCCAGTTTCTTGACCTGAAATTCAATTAAATAAATTGAATGAGCTTAACAGGAGAAAGAAACTACAGTATACAGTATAACCAGAATGTCCCTAGGACATGTTTAGGAGTGTGTTGACTGCTATAGATGGCGATCTACAACTAAAGCTGTATGAGAATATTAAGGTGTAACCATAAGAACGTTTTTCATGAGAAAAATGTCCTAAAATACCTCTTTTATGTTTTCTTTTGAGAGGGTTAAAGCATTTTCTTGTGAATCAACATTTTAAGATGAGCCTTACTTTTTCAGTTCCATTTCAGTAAGACTGCATAACCCTACAACGTTGGCCACTAAAAATCAGTTTCTTTTATTTTTAATCATTATATGATACAGCTAAAAATCTAAATTTCCAATGTGGTGTGCTGAATTAATTATGTTTCTGCAAGGGTGTAAACTGTAGTCATCAGTGTCTACAAATCTGAGGATGGAAGCAATTCACAAAGTGCTCCTTACGTTGCAAAGGAGCTGGTCAGCAACCCGATGAATGCCACGACCGCCCCCAAGACAGCAGTCTTCCGGCAACCGAAGTGGTCTGTAAACATGCTGACAACAGGGGAGCAGAAGAAAATCATGCCCATGGCCAGAGCACCCACCCAGGCTGGTGAAAGAGGAACAGAGAAAGAGAGAGAAAGAACAGAGTGTTAGTATGGTTGGGACTGGAGGAAGCCTGAGCCATACACTCACACAGGAGCACAAATGCCGGGTTTTTAGCAGCTCACCACCAGGAAGTGTGTGGGGAAGCAGATTAGCATCACACCTTGCCTATAATTCTTGAGAAAGAAAAGGCATTCTAGGAAACGCCAACATTAGTAAGCTTGGAAATAATCTGCATAGAATCACACACAATGAAGCTAGGCCTAGACAGTGCTCCTGTATAACCATATGTACAAAACTGTTTGCCTTCTATAAAAAAAAGAATTTCCATGTGCTCAAAAGAGGTTCAAAGAACACAAAAATAATTCATATACTAAAATAAGTCTCATATACAGTACAAAAAAGTATTCATTGCTGCCTTAGACCATTGAAGACATTGTGGAGGTTTTGGCACAGTTATTGAAAATGTCGAACGAATTTGACAGAGGTATCCAAGGTAACTGCTTCAACATCAACATGAAATCTAGGACCAGAAGATAGTACGGTAACAGAAAACAGATGGCACTTATTTAACAAGAATGTTTGCTTCAAACTGTTCACCACTTTTTGCAAACTGATTCACTGGGACTTTTAAAAAAAAGCCTTCTTGGACAGAACTTTAATCAAATGTTACTATCAACCTAACCAGAAAGTTAGGCTGAGTGACCTCTTTTCATCCTTATCCTTTCTTCTCTGTTTTTAGGATTGTTATGTACTGAGAGGCATTAAAAAACAAATGTTATTGGTGCCAGTACACACTTAATAATATCCATACAGTGTGCCTGGGCAGTCACATTTATAAAACAATCTGAAAATATGACTGAAACACAGCTAGGGAAGGAAGAATCACAACTAAGCTATTGGTATTTATTTATTATTTATTATTGGTATTTATTAAGGTATTGGTATCCATCACAGCTGAAGAAGATTCTCTTCCATGAATTTGAAGGTGACTGTTTGGACCAATACAGGATCCACATACTCAGGCGGGTTGTGAAGGTCATGTCTTAGGAGATATCACTGCACTTTCCAGCCAAGGAGTATACTCTATGATGATGTTACCTTGCTCAAAGTGTTGCTGTCACTACTGTAATTCCTCGAACCTTAAGGGCGCTCCAACTTGTTCACATTTTAGTTGATTTTGTGCACATGCTCCCTGTTCCAGCCTCCTACAAAAGCCAGTCGCTCACTCTGTTCCAGGCTCTGCATTGGAACAAGGACGCCCAGAGGCCCGCCTACCAGCGAATCGCCTTACGTCCCCGGCTCGGAGGGCATTCGCCTCCTATTGGCGTCCTGAACCAGCTGTGTCCAGGACTTGGAGTGCCTGGTCCCATTCCCCCTTTTTTCCCCGACCCTTCGCTGGATCCCGCCCCGGTTTTTAACTTTGTCATGTCTGTCTACATCCCCTTGCCGGATCCCGCTCCGGCTTTTAACTTTGTCTTCTTCGTCTTGGATGGATCACTTGGCTCTGGACTTTTGCCTGCACTGGATTTTCCCTTCAGACTCCCTTTTGGACTATTTGCCTGGACCACACACCCCCCTCCCCCGAGCACCTTCATCACGCCCTCCTGTTTCGTCTACCAGCCCAGTTCCTCGTCATGTGTTCACTCCCTTCCGGATTGTGCTATCCGCACAGGGTCCTGAAAGACGCACCGTAACAGTGGATCTCATTCACAGATATTGTTCTTCTTTGCATTGGAAGAACAGCCATTACCTCCAAAGATTTGATCATTACTTTTGCATTTCTTCAAGTTTTCTGTTATCCTCTCATCGTAACACTTCTGTCCTCCTCTGATATAATTACCTTGTTTATGGTAAGAGAAAACAACTTCTTTAGGAGCCTGGAGATCCAGGCAGACATTCAGATAACATAAGCCAAGCAGAGCTGACGGTGAATGATCACAGCTTCAATGTCTGACTGGAAAGGAACACAGAAGATGGAAACAGCACATGTGATATAATTCAAATTCTTTTAATTTTCTCCCATGTGCTGTGCATGAAGTCTAGAAATCTTATTTTATCAATCCTCCTCCTGGACCAATTATGTAAGTTGGATGCAAGTAAAACATAACTCAGTTCTTTATCCATTTTTGTTCTTTAACATGAGACAGTTCATGCTGAAGGTTTTTATTTCCATCTTAACAACAGTTTAGGTATAGATTTAGGGATCTAGTGGACTGTCAACAGCCTGTAGGATGTCTAAGGACAAATTACTACTAACAGCTTTCTAGCTCAGTCTTCTCACCATAAGAATGAGTGTTTTCCAAAAAAATGCTCTTGTCCTCGTTGTCTGTATGAAATACTGTACTTATATTAAGTTCTAAAATTATCATATGCATCTCAGTTTTGGAATTAGAAATACCAGTTTTATTGCTTCATTTTTATTTCTTTAATCTTTTATTTAACAAGAAGAGTGAAATAAAATATTCTCCTTAACAATGACAACCTTACCAAGGAGCTTACATCATTAAAGAATTTTGGTGGGTAAATATTTCTCACAGTTGACTTTAAGGGCACAGAGGTTCACTACACCGTACCACATCCATCCTAAGCTAATTAAGTAACCTAATATGCTGATTCACAATCTAAAAAAAAAACACCAGGAAAATGATTTTCAGAGGCATGAACAACTCAAATGATGAATATTCAAAAAAATATTCTACCTCTTCTTACTCAAAAACAGATCACTTTAATTAGATACTTCCCCCATATATAACCCTTGCAAGGCACAGGTGTAAATGTTGTGCTCCATGATGAGGAAACACAGGATTGTACACCTGTGCTGAACAGCTGCTGCCTATGGCTCGGATTTGAACTGGGAATTTCCATCTGTACTGTATGTAGCAGCACGGCACTGCCCGATACTCCTGCCCAATTTCTGTTTTTAAGAACCACAATCATATTCCAAGACAGCTCAGACTTGGTGGCACACAGATGCCTTTAAAGATGTAAAACTAAGGTCCTGACTCTCTGTGGTCATTAAAAATCTCAGGGCTTTTCTCGAAAAGAGTAGAGGTGTTACCCCGGCGTCCTGGACAAATCTCCCATTGGCCTTTACCAATCATGACCTCCTAATAATCCCCATCTATGAATTGGCTTTATTACTCTGTTCTGTGTGGTGAGCGTTCTGGCTCACTGTGGCTGCTGTCGCATCATCCAGGTGGATGCTGCACATTGTTGGAATTGGAGGGGAGTTCCCATTACCTGTAAAGCGCTTTGAGTGTAGTATCCAGAAAAGCGCTATATAAGTGCAAGCAATTATTATTATTACAGGTGGGTAGCTGCGTCAGCATGCATAGGCTGCAAAGGAAGAAGCAATAGGTTTATTCCATGCTGTAAAAAAGAAGAAAGAGAACACAACGTTTCGGCCATGGAGCCTCGGACGAAACGTTGTGTTCTCTGTCTTCTTTTTTTCAGCATGGAATAAACCTATTACTTGTTATTATTATTATTATTATTATTTTTATTATTATTATTAAATTATTATGTGAAAGAGAAGAAATTGCAAAGCATAATATCACTCACAGATTAAAATACTTACATTTGTTAAAAGCCAGGACTGCAAACATTCCACTGGTTATTTAATATATGTTCTCAGACTTTATTCCTCTCTCAGGTAATTGAAATATGCACTTTAGAGCTAGATTTACTTTAGCAGTAAAACACTCTTTGCTCTTTCACAATTTTTTCCCATGAATTTGGTAAGCCACATTTTCTTTTTCATTTGATGTGTACTGTGGAATCCTGCCAGTCACGAAAATAAAGCACTTTTGCTTTGCTGTTTTTAAGAACCACAGTCATATTCAGAAAGGAAATTGTAGAGAAAGTATAGAACTGCAAATAAAATACGCAATGCACATCTTACATTAATGGGGTTAAACTCAAAACTGTTGAGTTTAAAGAAATTATTGCATTCCTGTCTTCAAGGTGCCAATGCAGTAAACACCGGGATATAAAACTGTATATATAAAAATCTATTAGCTACAGATTAAAATCTATCATTTACACTGAAATCTGAAACCTGAAACCTCAGATTATTCTGACATTCTGTTCAATCTCCATGTGTTTGTACGTTAAAGATCTTCACTTACAGACCATGTAAATCTAAAACAGTCAATCTGTGTGCTGTGGGAAGTGTTACACTAAATCCAAGTGATGTGACAAGTCCATCCATTAACTTTGATGGATCAATGTTAGTTCCAAGCAATGTTTTGGTGGCTAAACAATGCACTTTCCATAACATGTCCTTCATCAATATCAAGAGCAGATACCTTTAATGTTTATTAAATGTGTGGAAATAACTGGTTTGCCATATAGGAGGACCTCATTAGTTCAGGTCAAGCCAATTTTGAAGGAATACTAGTGTCCTACCAAGCATCTGGCTGGGTGTCAACAAACACCACAAAAGATAGCCCTTAACTTTGACTCAACTGCTAAGAGACTTTAGTGTCTTTTTTTACATTGTTAAATGCAGTGAATAACTGTGGGATACATGCCTTTCACTGTCTCAGAACCAGTCATTAAACTTCTAACTAAAACCATAAACAGCAGCTGTTCAGAAACCAATGCAAGTACTAAACTAAGACATAGACCTTGGCATAAATAAAATGGGGAATTTCATAGTGTTGCATATATGTGATTTTTTTCTCTAATACTCACCTCGTGATACTAATACTGTGATAGTTTCAGAAGTCTGTTTCAATTGTAGCCAGAATGCCATTATGCATATATTATTCTGTCTGCACTGATGATGTCCCAGCTTAGAAATCTTTAAACTTGTTTTATTTATTCAGTGTCAAGAATCTTCAAAACAATACCTCTCCATTCATGTAGTAAGCTAAGAGGATTCTGCTAGATGTCTAACACCAGCTCAGCACAAAAATAAAATACTAGCATCTAATCTGACATAATGTTTGGCATTAACACACACAACGCACTGCAGCAAGCTAGAGTGACACATATGGC